ATCTAATTTACCAATTATAATGAAAATAATTCAAAATGTTAAGAACATTATGTCGTCTTACATAACCAACTATCACAGAAGAAACTAGGCATATTTGTAATTTATGGCGTATAATTACAGATGTCATATAACTTGTGAATTATTCAAAAAGGTTTATTATACTAATTCCTAATATACAATATTTTAGGGGGGGGGGGGGACAGTACCTTGTATATAGTATAACCCCTGATGTCACATGTACCTGTTATAGACACGGACCAATGTTGATGATTATGGTTGAGGGCATATACAATGTACATATTGACAAGTGTCAGGTGACCCCCACCCCCGCTGACAAGATATTATCAAGGTGAATTATGGTTTTTCGTCAAACTAACGGTTCGGCGAACTTAAATTATGAAGAGGTGCGAAAGTGGTTTCGTCGATCTTATGTTATATTGTAATTATAGGCAAAGTAGGTCTACATTGTTCATATATAATTAGTGTTTTAGATGTCACACTAATAACCTCATCTACAATATTAGATATTTGTAAAACCAATAATATGCATTTCAAACACATAAAATAAATTATTTTATTATTATGTTACTATTTTACAAATCTAAATGTCGAGTTGAAACAGATTAGTTCTGCTATTGAAGACATGTCTGCGTACACATATATTCAATAATGAATAGTATAATGACCCCCTAATAATAAAAAAAAAAAAAAAAAAAAATATTAACAAAAAGTTTATGTAGCATATCAGTCACTTTTATTTTTAAAAAAGTCACTTTGTTAACACGGTGGTTTTTATATCAAAAGGGGGAATTGGCCTTATTACAACAGAAGCGACTAATAAACAGAATATAATTTAATTTATAAATTCATACATTTTTTTATAGCGACTTTCAATCTACTACATGTTAAGAAAATTCTGTTAACATTCTCTTAAATTTCCAACTAGCATCGAAAAACTTGGATACATCGTATTTGTTTCTGTTTGTGACAATATTAATGCAGCATGCCTGCAAATTCATGCAAATGTTCACGTAAATGAAAATACCAAAAATATTAGTTTAAAATAATATTTGTATCAATCGCACATTACATGTTAAATATCAAATTCACGAATTCATTATTAACACAACTTCCTCAAGTTTTATTTTCATGAACACTTAGGACTCATTTACAGACATGCTGCTTTCGATAATAAAAAAATTCAGTACTTACATCACAGTAGATACAGAAATCATCACAATTATCCGAACACACATTGCATGGATATTTAGCCATATTGAGAAATGATTGTTTTTCCAAATATGAAAGTAGCAAGGTACTATATTTTTGAGAATGTTTTTTTTTTTCCAGAATAAGGAAATAGGTAGATAATATTTTTACAAGCTATTATATATACTTCCCAAACATGATGCAGGTGTGATGCAGGTGTGAGATATCTTTAAAAGGACATGTCAATTAGTGGCAATTAGTGGAATACACAAGTGTGCGCCCTGGCATTTGTTTCTCAATATGTAAAGGTGCGAAGTATTGATGGCGCCTTAAAACAGCAAGGAATAACACAACAGACAATTTGCCAATCAACTGTGACGCCGTATAAAACTTTCCTTTCACAAAAATATAAATTTAAATTGTACCAATATTTAATCGATATTATAAATTATGTAACAAAAAAAAACAAAAACAAAAAAACAAAACAAAAACAAAAAAATATAAAAAAACACAAGTTTCAAAATAACAGTCATATTCGGTATCTTCTTTCCACTGCAGATAGTACTTATATTTACAACATGCTTCGAATATAACATGTAACATTTTTATTTATGTATCATATTAAACCATTTTTGGCAAATTAATTTATTTTATTATAAAAAATTATCGTATGGAGAGAAAAAACTTTATGATCTATAAGTCATATTCGGTATCTTCTGTCCTTCAAGGATATAACTTTGATAGAAAACGCAACAAGTATAACTAATAACTTTTTCACTTATTGACAAAAGTTAACGATATTTTGCAGCATGTAAAATCATTTTAATATTATAAAACATCGTTTTGAAAAAAATCATAAACAAATAATCAATTTATAAAATACAAGTCATATTTGGCATCTCCTGTCCGCCACGGATATGACTTTCATAGAACGTAATGCGAATATAACTTATAACTTGATTATTTATGGACAAAGTTTAACGATATTTTGCGTGTAAAATCATTGTATCATCATATCACACCGTATCAAGAAAACATCATAAAACAAATAATTTTATTATTTTTTTATTTATTGGCCAAATTTCACGATATTTTGCATGTTAAAATCATTTTATTATTATTAAACATCGTATCAAGAAAAATAAATAATAAAATAATCAATTTATAAAAAATAAGTCATATTCGGTATCTTCTGTCCACAACGGATGTGCCTTTTATAGAAAACGCAACGAATATAACTTATAACTTGATTATTTATGGACCAAGTTTAACGATATTTTGCGTGTAAAATCATTGTATCATTATATAACATCGTATCAAGAAAACATCATAAAACAAAAATCAATTTATAAAATAAAAGTTATATTCGGTAACTTCTTTCCGATACGGATATGACTTTTATTTAGAACATGCCACGAAGACAACATGTAAATTTTTATTTATGTATCAAATTAAACCATTTTTGGCAAATTACTTTATTTAATTATAAGAAGATCGTATGGAGACAAAAAAACTTTATGATCTATAAGTCATATTCGGTATCTCCTGTCCGCCACGGACATGACTTTTATAGAAAAACGCAACGAATATAACTTATAACTTTTTCACTTATTGACCAAATTTAACGATATTTTGCATGTAAAATCATTTTATTATTATAGAACATCGTTTTGACAAACAATTCATAAACAAATAATCAATTTATAAAATATAAGTCATATTTGGTATCTCCTGTCCGCCACGGATATGACTTTCATACAGAGCGTGCGATATATGTCACTTACAAAGTCATATTCGCGTATCTCTTTTTCCGCTAAGTATCAAATTTAACCATTTTTGGCATATTATTTCATTTTATTATGAAAAAAATATCGTATGGAGAGAAAAAACTTTATGATCTTTAAGTCATATTCAGTATCTTTTGTCCGCAACGGGATATGCTTTCATAGAAAACGCAACGAATATAACATATAACTTTTTATTTATTGACAAAAATTAACAATATTTTGCATTTAACATTTTATTATTATAAACCATTGTATCGAGAAAAATAAATAATAAAATTATCAATTTATTAAATATAAGTCATATTCGGTATCTTCTGTCCGCAACAGATATGCTTTCATAGAAAACGCAACGAATATAACATAACTTTTTTTATTTATTGACAAAAATTAATGATATTTTGCATTTAACATTTTATTATTATAAACCATCATATCTTGAAAAATAAATAATAAAATAATCAATTTATAAAATTTAAGTCATATTCGGTATCTTCTGTCCGCAACGGATATGACTTTGATAGAAAACGCAACAAGTATAACTTATAACTTTTTCACTTATTGACCAATAACCCAATAACATTCATATTATTATTAACTATAGTATCGAGAGAGAAAAAAAATCAATTCATAAAAAAAATAAGTCGTATTCGGTATCTTCTGTCCGCAACGGATATGCCTTTTATAGAACGTAATTCGAATATAACTTATAACTTTTTTATTTATTGGCCAAATTTCACGATATTTTGCATGTAAAAAATCATTTTATTATTATTAAACATCGTATCAAGAAAAATAAATAATAAAATAATCAATTGATAAAAAATAAGTCGTATTCAGTATCTTTTGTCCGCAACGGATATGCCTTTTATAGAAACGCAACGAATATAACTTATAACTTTTTTTATTTATTGACCAAATTTAACGATATTTTGCATGTAAAATCATTTTATTATTATTAAAACATCGTATCAAGAAAAATAAATAATAAAATAATCAATTTATAAAATTAAGTCGTATTCGGTATCTTCTGTCCGCAACGGATATGCCTTTTATATAGAAAACGCAATGAATATAACTTATAACTTTTTTATTTATGGACCAAATTTTACGATATTTTGCATGTAAAAACATAATATTATTATTAACCATGGTATCGAGAAAAATAATAATAAAATAATCAATTTATAAAAAATAAGTCGTATTCGGTATCTTCTGTCCGCAAACGGATATGCCTTTTATAGAAAACGCAATGAATATAACTTATAACTTTTTTATTTATGGACCAAATTTAACGATATTTTGCATGTAAAATCATTTTATTATTATTAAACATCGTATCAAGAAAAATAAATAATAAAATAATCAATTTATAAAAAATAAGTCGTATTCGGTATCTTCTGTCCGCAACGGATATGCCTTTTATAGAAAACGCAATGAATATAACTTATAACTTTTTTATTTATGGACCAAATTTAACGAAATTTTGCATGTAAATTTATTTTATTATTTTAATACATCGTATTAAGAAAAAAAAATATAAAAAATAATTACTTTGTAAAATATAGGTCATATTCGGTATCTTCTGTCCTTCACGGATATGACTGTTATAGAAAACGCAACGAATATAACTTATAACTTTTTTATTTATGGACCTAATTTAACGATATTTTGCATGTAAAATAATTATATAATTATAAAACATCGTATCGAGAAATAATCATAAAAAAATTAATCAATTCATAAAAAATAAGTCATATTCGGTATCTCCTGTCCGCCACGGACATGACTTTTATAGAACGTAATTCGAATATAACTTATAACTTTTTTATTTATGGACCGAATTTAACGCAATTTTGCATGTAAATTCATTTTATTATTATAAAACATAGTATCAAGAAAAATTTATAAAAAAATAATTACTTTGTAAAATATAGGTCATATTCGGTAATTCTAGTGATATCCGCGGATATCACTCATATTTGGTATTAAGACATACCGCGGTCAAACCTAAGATTTTGTAAAAAATGTAGACTTGGACCAGTTGGCTACCATTAACAGCACTGATTAACTTTTGACAACATGTTAGGTGAATTTAAACAGGGAGTGTCTGGTTATTTGTATGTGAAATGTCGAAACACAGAATGCGGTCATGTGAAAAACACACAGACTCTAGTAGATTGAAGACCTGTGAAAGTTGGAATGCCATGGTTCGTTGTCAACACAAAATTAGGAACAGGTAAGTGATTAATGTATTGCATCATAGTTTACATTTACATATACTGATAATGAATTCATAGATGTAATGTCTCGTACCAAAATGAATATATCGATACATTATGATTTATCAGTGTTTATTTACTTGTCTTCCAATGATGTCAAACATGTAAAATTATGCGGACCAAATTTATGTTTCAGATTTATAAATAATTAATTTATTATACAGAATACATGTATCTTGTTTGTGTTTAGCTGTAAAACACTACTCCTTATTGTGAAAGAAGTGGCTAGCCGTACGGCTAGCCAAAAGTTCTAGCCGTACGTGACTCACATACTCCATATAATTTTGAAAAGTGCCGTACGGCTAGCCAATACAGTGTGTCCTGGCTAGTCGTACGTGACTCACGTACGGCTAGAACTTTTGGCTAGCCGTACGGCTAGCCACTTCCTATTGTGAAATGTTTTATAAACTTCCCTCTGAACTGTTTTAATTTCCCCAAAGTCACTGAGAAATTTGAAAAACAAATGATAAAACGTTGCTAAATTAAATCTTGCAACAATGCAATTTTTAGTAAGACATTACAGAATCCTACATGTACATTATATAAAAGACACAGTTTACACTAGGCTGCCAATACACACAGTCACAGTAGTACTAATATTCAACGTACATGAGGCAGCTAAAAATAGCTCTATATTAATTTATGCAATGTGTTATTATCACGGTTATGTAAATTACAATCCATGTGAAGTTTTTTTTTGACAAAATATTTGTATACTTTAATGAAATAATTTGTTTCTTTCATTTTCTTACAGCAATGATTGATAGTGTAGGTGGGCCGGTGAGGGTCAACAATTTGTTGTCAACACTAAATATACCAACAATTGGAAATAAAAACATGAAAAGAAATGGAGAGACGTGTTGGAAATATCATTGAGACAGCACTGGCTTCTATGCCGACAGAATCTGCTGCATAAGATCAAGGAAATGGAGTAAGACACATTTACATTTACAATGATATTTTCGAAATAACATGTACTTGAATTGGAAGAATTTCAAAAATTATTTTGTAATTATATGTCTATGCAGCTTATCATGGTATAATCCTATATTGCTGGCACACTCGTGGTTTAGGGAACCAAAGAATATTATACAATCCATATATGAGAAAAGAATTTTTAAACAATGGCTTTGTTGTTTTTGCATGTTACTCTATATTCATGTACATATTTCTTTTTTCAAAATAACATGAATGTGTAATTGTTTTTTTAAAAAAGTATTTATTTCTACATGACAAACTGGGTCCGCCTGGGCTCCTTGCCATTGGTACTTGTTGCTTGGTCATATGGGGGTTGCGTTCATTGAACGCCGCCTTTCCTTGTTGATCTTGTTTATCATATTTTACCTTCATTGGTTAAGACTAAAATTCATATTAAATACATGCATTCTTTTTAAGGGATGTGCATCATGAAGAATCAATGGTATCAGAACACAACATCATGGAAGATCTTATTGACAAGATCTCGGAGGATGTCCTTTGCCAGATGTTTGCCAGCACTAAAGTGAGTACTGGTAGTTTGTTTTCTGTATTTTGTTTATTTACGAAAGTAAAGGACTATGCAAAACTGACTGGTGTTGTTGAACTGTTTGTGTTATGTCAGTTGCTTCAATATATGAATATCTCTCCATATACTGTTTGTACATATGTATTTTTTTTTTATTCAAGGTCTATTCATCAGTCAAATGCTACAGTTACAAATGACAGTGAATGGTCAGATTTATACAATTGTGATTAACAATCCTCAACAATACATCAAACAAAAATGCCTATTAAACTGTAAGTTGAAATCTATGAGGTTTTTTAGCTCGACTTTTCTATGAAAAGGGGAGCTATCCTACTCGCCCCGGCGTCGGCGTCGGCGTCACACCTTGGTTAAGTTTTTCGTACCACCCCACTTTATTTCAGAAGTATTACAAGTATGGCTTTGAAACTTACCATACTTGTTCACCATCATAACCTCCATCTACAGACAAGAGTACATAACTCTGTCAAGGTTTTTGACAGAATTATGGCCCTTTTTTGACTTAGAAAGTGTATTGAGCTTGGTTAAGTTTTTTGTACCACCTCACTTTATTTCAAAACCATTGGAGGTATTGCTTTGAAACTGACCATACTTGTTTACCATCACGACCTTCATCAACAGACAAGAGGACATAACTCTGTCAAGGTTTTTGACAGAATTATGCCCCTTTTTTGACTTAGAAAATACATTGAATATGGGTAAAATCCACTTATTGCCTTAACCCTTTGAGATATTGCTTTGAAACTTTTAATGCTATTTCACATCATTACCCCCATCTGTACGCAAGAGAAGGTAACTCTGTCAAGGATTTGTTTTTAAAAATTAAGGCCTTTTATCGACTTAGAATCTTGGTTAAGTTTTTAGTACCAGTCCACTTTTTGACTGAACTGTTTGAGATATTAATTTGAAAGTTGGAATACTTGTGTTACAATCATGATTCCCAAACATGTCCAGGAGAAGGTAATTCTGTCAAAGATTTTATTTGAATTATGGCCCTTAACTGTCAATGTTTTGTATTATAGGCAAGCACTAAAAAACTTAAAAAATCTAAAAAAATTCATTCCTATCCACTTGTTCACTTTACCATAAATTATGTCATATAAACATTGCTGTAATATTCAAGGGTATCAAACAACTAGTTATTTTTCTCTTTTTGTACTTGAAATTAAAATCAGTAGTATATGCATATTTCACATTTTATCTCGCCTATTTGATTGGCACAATTCAGTAAAATAATTCTTCACTAAATATCTTAATGCTCATGGCCATTGTTCACTTTAAAAATACAGAGATTCTTGTATTGCCTTTTACTGCAAAAACTTTTTTTATTGGCAAGCAATAAAAAAGTCGAGCGCGCTGTCTTACGGACAGCTCTTGTTTATATATATTTATAATCATGGTGTAGCAATTAAATGATAATACTGTGATAATTTTGTAATGCTATTTGGGGTCGTCTTCAATAGAAACAATTTGATGTATCTTCATGTGATGAATAATCGATATGCAGTCCGAATTATTTCATAAAAGTGATCCCTAAAATTGGTCAGGAAAAAGTCGTGCAATTAGCATTAATAATTAACAAAACTTATTCTAGTAACTGTATGAA